GTTTTTCTGCTAACTGGTACAACGTGTCACTCAAAAGAGCTTGTATAAACAACTAAGGAATATATCCTATGGCAAACACCATCTATTCTTAGAGGATAGAAATATATAATGTTCATATCAATGAATTCTTGAAGAATTTCAAGTACACTACAGCTGATCTAGTTCAGTTTTTTAAACACATCACTGAATACAAGTGTTCAGATCGCTGACTTTTCATCAGTTTAGAGTTGTTTGTAGAGTTGGTTAGCTCAGTTATGAATTTCTTTTTTTTTTTCCAGTGTAAGAAGCCAGTATAACAGATGCGTGGGTTGTACTGCCCATCTAGTTTTAACCAGCAATGTTAGACTTATATTTTGTAGTATTGAGTGCTCAAATATGCGCAAAGGAAAGCACAGTCCAAAAAGTGTCCTGAGGTTCTGTTACATCTGCAAAACTAAATATCTTTTATAAGAACAGAATGTTTCCATCAGATTTTTCAGCTCTGATCTCCCTCTAGAGACAAACTTTAGCAACTGACCTATAGTTCTCATTCAGGCTGGACTGATCTTTTTTAGATGCCTGGGCAAAGATATCTCTCTTTTTGTGGAACTGAAGCCCTTCACTGGAAAGTGAGGATGTCTGAAAATTCACCTATTCATCCTCAGTCCCTAGAGAACCATAAAAACACAGCTGCTCTTTAATGAAGGTGAAGTCACCTGCATGTTCATGGAAAGGATGTGGCCTTCCCTCTCCTAGTCACTGTCCTGGTAGTAACTGTGTCCCTTAAGCTCTGCTAAACCTCTCAGTGTGTTGCTGTGGGCTTTGTTGTGAAATGTCCCCCGTCACATTTGCCAGCAGACTCTACTTGATGCTTACTGACTGCCCTACAGGCACTCCATATGTTCCCTCCTATGTGCTTTGGCAGCTAACTCGAAGGTTCTTATGAAAGTTCAGAGCTAAATCCAGTCCCATCCCACTGCCAGCAAAACCGAAGTTATCAGTTCAGGCAAAAAATACCTTATTTTGTGAATGCTAATTAAACTAAAAATGGTATATAATCTAAGTAGTTTAGGCCATGCCACTGAGTGAGGAAAAACATACTGAGGCATTAAAATACCTTGGTAATGCAGTAAGAAATAGTCAGAAGTCATAAAATAGTGACACATGTTTCAAAGAGCACTGTAATATGCTTAAAAGTTGATTAAATATGGCAGCTGTGACCCTCATACTGCATTTACTGAGAAAAGCTTCCATTTAGTTTGAAGTTACTATTACTTTTGAAGAGGTTTTAATCATGAAACCTGATTTGATTGACAGTGTCCACATTGAATCATGTTCAATAAACAGTAAAGCACATTTTGCTAATTAATTGGAGAAAGCTGAAGAAAAGATTAAGCAAAAGCAATCAGACTTTCAAAAGGCTTGGTATAATCTTCAAAGCACCATTTAACATAAACTGTGTTTCTTTTACCAACTTGCTCATTTATTTGTAGCAAATACAATAGTAATGACTGTCAGTTAAATTTTTGTACTAATCTGGAATACAAAGTCGTTGAGAGAAGACATGTATGCTCTGCACGACTTGTGGAGGCAGTGAAGAGAATTCTTAAAGCAGAAAAGTAATTTGGCAGAGTGGCTGCTATAAACTCTTCAGTGCATGCTTATTATTGTCGAAACAGTTTTTCAGACCCACAAATTATAAAGCTATGGAATGCATGTTTGCATCATTTTATTTACACTGCTGTAATTCTAGCCACCAAACTGCAGATCTGCATAAAGCATTAAAGAGGACATAAAAGAAAGCCGAATGACAACCAATTTATATGCCATTTTATTCCTGGACACCACTTTGCCCACGCAACATATGTTTTGTGCTGAATTTAGAGGCACACTCGTGTCTATTGTGTTGCATTAGTCTAACACAATAAAATAATTGATCCAGATATCAAACCTTTACAGTTTGAGAGAAACAGAAGAGAATGGAAAGAAAAGGCAGACAAAGCGGAACAACAATAGCATATAGGTACTTTGAATGGCACAATTACTGATATGGTTCATTAGGTGTGCATAAAGATAGCAAATGCTACAGATACTGTAGTGGTGTTGTGCAGTGTCAGAACACCTGATGCACACCTGAACAAACAGCTGGGAGGAACAATGAAATTCTGTATGTCTGAAACAGAAGATACTCCCATGTTGTTCTGAGGTCTCGTGTTGCAACGGAAAATGGTTGCTTTTGTTTATTTAGAAAAAGCTATCTCCAAAAAAGTATTTGAGTTAAGAACGGGAAGACACTGAGACAGACCTTTACTGAGGCTTAAAAAGTGACCTGAGGTGAGGCCCTTGGTACCATGCCTGTAATATCCCACAGGTGTTACTTCAAAGAGCAATGCCAGCCAAAACTGGAGTAGAGCTGTACAGAGACACCTTGCTGTGTCTTTTGTTTCCCCCAATCATTCCAATGCTATACTCAGCCACAGGAAGGCTTGAATAAAAAGAAGTTGACAACCAAGTAGTATGCAAACTATAAATCAAAAATTAACAGTCCCAATGAATTGGTATATATCATTCATTTAAAAAAAAAAATCATGCCAGCAGTGTGTTGTTGTTAATACCTGAGACCAGCAGCTAGAAGTTAATCTTTCCAGAGACAGACAGCCTGTTGCAGAGCTTGGCTATTAATATAGCATATTTCAATCTGGCTACTAAGAAATAAGAATCCCTACCATTAGGATTTAACTTAACTCCTTTGAACAACAGTTCAACCTGTTTCTCCCTGGAATCCTATTATGCTTTTCCAGTAAGGTGTTACGACAACAACTTGGGCTTACTATTTATGGAGCTAGTAACTCTTAAAATACACTCTGAAGTAAGTGGCTATTCCTTTAATCTGTGACCTTAAAATTCAGCAAGAGTTGATGTTTTGTTGCTCTTGTGTACTAAGCTGCCCATCAGTCACTGATCCAGTCCAGCTGGTGCTGTACCATTTGCTCACATTGGTGCTGCACATGGTGGCAGCATAGCTCAGAGGGGACACGCACTGTGAACTTACCTGTGTTGAAGTGTCTGTCACCCAGTGTCCCTCTACCAACATCCTCAGCGTGAGGCTAATAAGTAATATTATTTCTTGTTAAAACTGAAGCAGATTGAGAAAGATTAACAGGAATGGTGAGGACAAGGAAAGAGCAGATTAATGAAGACAGCCAAAATGGAGCTCTTTCAGCCAGGTAACACTGACCAAAAATTGAAGAACAGCATATTCCTCTGCAAAGTTGCCTGATATCAGATGTCATGGAACAGCCCAGGGCATGACCTTCTGCCCAAGCATGCCCATCAGCTCAAAGTTTGCAGGCATACAGGGAAGCATGCATTCTTTTGACTTCCTATCTATCATGACATTTTGCTTCCCTCTCCTCCCGGCCTTGATTTCTGCTTCCTAACAATATCACTGCATTGTAGCCCTTTAAAAGTGATTAGAAAAAGGGAAAGCGTAAAAGTAATAATCAGTAGCAAACATCAGGAAGCAGACCTGCTCCATTCAGGATGGAGTCATGACCTCTGTAAATGCAAAGCTATCAAACAAACTTTCTAGATCGCTTAGAAACACATCATTAGTCCTTGTCACACTGGGATTTAGCTTACTGTGGAAAAGTCATTAGTTTCTTTTCAGATTCTCTGGAGAATTTCCAAAACCTAGCCCTCGCATTTCCTCAGGTTGTTCGTATGTAATTTCATGTTTCAGCCCTTGTTAGCTGGTACAGTACGTGTCGTTCCAAGCTTAAATTCGTAATTACAGTAGCCTACTAAGGCAAAGCAGTCAGGTGCTCTGCCATTGTGGCTTCCACTTCTGAACGGAGCTAGACTATACCAAAATCGTACTTACACCACCTCCACTGAGGTTAGAAAGTCTTTGGAAGGGATCTTAATTCAGGGAACTTGTATACGCAGCCTGTTCCTAACGTGACAATCTAACAGCTATGCTATGTGTGAGGCCGTTAAGATTTCACTTCAAATATTGCATTAAAAACGCCTTGACCTTTAAATGGAGTTCAGTGGTGGTATTTAGTAGTCTTTTGATAAAGTGTAAAGTTAGTTGTTCACATCACAGCAGCTTGCTGGCTCACTGTCAAAATGCCCTTCAGAAGTATCCATTCCTTATTTTCTTTACGGAGTATCATGACTGGTACCATAGCTCTTTTAACGTTTTGAGCGAGTGGCTGTGTGGTGTTTAGCTGCCAGCCAGGCTAAACCATGACAGTTGATACAGTCATACTATAGTCTGTGGTTTTGTTATCTTACCTTTCTGCAGGGCCAGAGTGCATACCGCCTGACTCTATCCTTAGAAACCATAAGCACAAAGCCAATGTTAACTGCACTTAAAAATGACACAAAAATTCCACTTTTCCTTGGTCTGCTACTCACCCAGAGCTCTTCCTAGCTTTTTAGGAAAACGTTACCTTCCCACAGTTGGGCAGCTCTATCTGTAGTATCTGAACTTTTTTCCCAGGAGATTTTTCTTCTAAGGTTGCTGTCACGTGGTCCTTTAGCAGGCAATAATTCCCAGACTTCCTACTAGACCTTTGGCTTTTGGGAATGCTCTTTTGGTCCAGTTCACACCTTTTCCTTTTTATGTTTTGTTTCTGAGATAAACCTATTCTTGCAGATTAAAAAAAAAAAAAAAGCACTTGATTCTCTTGTGATTGAGGTTCAACTCCAATGAAATCAGATTTAAAAAAATAATAAAAAATAATACTCTGGATGAATCTTGAGTGCAAGAGAAAGATTCAGAATGTTCATGTCTCCTGATGACTGGAAATCATTTTCTCATGACATTATTGTATTTGCCTGTCTTTTGAAGAATTTAATTATATCAAATGTTCTATGAACCTAGAGTTGGGAAAGCTAAAGAAGTTTGAGTTGTGAAAAGCAAGAGATGTTTTCAGTGTGGCTTTAGTAGTGATATGTCTGAATATAAAATAACGTGCTGCTTTTCTTTTTCTTTTCCCTCTTTCAGCAAAGTTTCTGTTTGAAAAATACCCATTCTCACAGCAAAACAAAAACAACTTTTAAAGGTTGTTCTCAGTGGAAATCACTCTATGCCCCATTACCTGCTTGAGTGAAACCAGACTAAGAACTTCTGTCATGGCAGCTTTTCTGCTGGGAGCTGTGTTGCTTATTGTTCAACCTCAAATAGTGCCTTCCAGACCGGCTATAAATTCAAAGGCTGAGACGTCTTCTCAGTCTGTTCAGAGAGAGCTTTTAAAGAAAACATCTCAAAAAAATGACTTCAAGGAAAACATTCATACTAATGGATCATGCCGACAGCTGCCACAGACTATCATTATTGGAGTGAGGAAAGGTGGAACAAGAGCTTTGTTAGAGATGTTGAGTCTCCATCCAGATATTGCAGCAGCAGAAAGTGAAGTTCACTTCTTTGACTGGGAAGATCATTACAGAAACGGATTGCAGTGGTATATTAATCAAATGCCATTCTCTTATCCCCATCAAATCACCGTGGAAAAAACTCCAGCATATTTCACATCACCTAAAGTGCCTGAAAGAGTTCATAACATGAACCAATCAATGAGACTGCTCCTTATTTTAAGAGACCCAAGTGAGAGAGTACTGTCAGATTACACCCAAGTGTTCTATAATCACATGCAGAAGCACAAGCCGTACCCATCCATTGAACAATTCCTGATTAAAGATGGTGAACTCAATGTGGACTACAAGGCAATAAACAGAAGCTTATACTACATTCACATGCAAAACTGGCTGAAGTATTTTCCCCTTGATCGTATCCACATTGTAGATGGGGATAAACTAATCAAAGATCCCTTCCCAGAAATAGAAAAGGTAGAGAGATTTTTGAAGTTATCGCCACAGATAAATGCTTCAAACTTTTATTTCAATAAAACTAAAGGTTTCTACTGCCTAAGAGACAGTGGTAGAGAGCGTTGTTTACATGAGTCAAAAGGACGAGCACACCCACAAGTAGATACCCGGTTACTGGAGAAACTGCATGAATATTTCCATGAACCCAACAAGAAATTTTTTGAGCTCGTGGGCAGAACATTTGACTGGCACTCATTTGTGGCAAGTTAGTGGTAAGCTTCGGAACCTATGTTCCAGTGTACATTTAGAAATTTTAAAAAGGGCATTTAAGCTATAATTTATTTGTAAAAATCCATAAATACTTCTGTACAGTATTAGATTCACAATTGCCATATATAGTAGTTATATTTTTCTACTTGTTAAATTTGAAAGCATTTTGTATTGTTTTTCATGGTTGTTAACATTGTGTATGATGTGTCTATATGAAAAAGCTAAATTATTTCACTGCAGAAGATACTCTCTTGAGAATGTGTCGTCTTTTTAATAAATAAGAAATTCATTTCAACAGAACCCTTCAGAATTATTTGAATACTTTGGCCTTTCTGGGCTATTCTGGACTTTCTCCTCTAATTGCTAGTAAATGTGCTAAACTTTACATTTCCATTTTTCTTGCTTTAAAATGTGGTTTAATAATTTCTTTTTCATTTGAAAATATTTTTATAGTTAGCAAATTGTTCCATCCTGTTTTATAAAATTATTTCCTGCTAAAGTGGTGGTACTTATACATGTTGGGACATGCACACCCAAAAGACAATGGAAATCTGTGTAATGTGACATATTAGCTGCTGTACTTATCTTCATATTTACTGTTATAAGAAGTGCTCCTCAAATTCTTTGGCAGTACAGGTTTCATGGCAGATTTTTAAAGATTCTGTAGGGACCAGCTCATAAAATCTAGAGTTAGCTGCAGAAATATGGTCAACTCAAAAACTTCCTACAGTCTCTGAATGTATATATACTCCATAAAGAAGAAGGGTTGAGAGAAGAATTTAAGCAATATAGGGACATTTCCAAGGTTGCTTATGACTGTTCCTGCATTTTATAGCACATTTATGCTTTGCCATCACTGAAAATGAACACTGACACCAGAAAAATTAGTTGGTCTACATTCTGTTAACCAGCAACTTCATTCATATAAATATTACCACACTTGTTCCCTGTTTAAGGCTGTTTTCTAGGAGTTGAGCAGGTGCTTTGTGCAACTGAAAATTGCCCATGGACTACTGTTTATTTAAACTCCTTCCAAAAACCATGATGCCAAGTCTCGACTAGACTTGTGTTTTGTGGGGCTGACCCCAATTCCAGGAACTTTTATGGTCTTCTATCTGCTAAAATGGAAGTTAGATGTTAGTACCTTGGTAAAAATTACAGCTCTCGTTGTCTATAGTAGTTCTGATGTCTTGCTAGCCATCAGTTTCTGGAGTTGAGTTAATCCTGTTTCCACACAAGGCTTACTAGAGTACTTTCATTCTGAGCTCCTAATTTTCATTTTAGGATCTTGAGTTTAGCTGTTGAATGGCAAGACCCTGTAAATTTGAACTCGTAACTGATTGTTAACAATCCTGTATAAAATTTAAATGTGGATTCATTAATTTTTTTCTGGTGAGATGGTGCAAACTTGGGCACTACGACAAGGTACTATCTGAATGCAAATATCCCATATTATGCTGCTTGCATGAAAATTTGCAGATGCTGCCTCTCTCCCGCTCCTTGTGCACCTGCCCAAGCTGTATTCAACCTCAGAGAGGTTGGTGGTGTTTTATAAAGTAGCTCTTTGACAAAAACCTACAATGAAATGGTATTGTACTCAATAAAATATTTTCTGAATTGCATTTTTCCTTTCTCTTTTGTTCATCAGTTTCTAGTTTTGAGGACCTGAGTTTAGGATTCAACTCCAGTTTGGATTCCAGTTAAATGTTACTTAAGAATTTAGCTGTAGCCTAGTGCGTTGATTGGAAAGCAGTTGTTTGCTACTAGATTGTGCCTGCATGGTCCATGGCTGATCCAGAATATACAACAAGGAGGGAAAGTTGCTATGGCAATAATGTCAAATCTCACAGGAGGCAGATGCAAAAACTAACAGGATTGTAGTACCATCATGCTCCTATTAAAGTTTAAGAAAAGAGAAAATCAGCGGGTTTTGTGTAAGGTGGGGCAGAATTTTTTTCTACACTCATTATTGTCATCCCACTTCCTTGCTAATGTGATGTCTGCAGGAGCTGTCTCGACCTAAGTGATTTTAGCCCAGAGAAAAGGCTTCCCACCTTAGTATAGTCCCACCTTCACTAGTGCCTCCCTACAGTCGCAGACTAAGCCCTCCACATTCACCAACTTTTTGCTGGGAAAGGGAAAATAGTACCAGGGTATGTGACCAGGAGCCAGAAGAGTACGAGAAGGCAGGGTTGCATCAAGTTCACCCACAGCAAGTCATACAGGGAAGCATAGGGCATAAATGTTGAATTGTGAATGCCAGAGCAGTATTGACATCTGATGTTGGTACTGAGAATACTTTTAGATGTATAATGCTGCTTGATACCAGTGTCTTGCCTCTCACCAAGCAGGACACGTGCACGTGCTTCCCCGCGACCTATATGGCTTGTCTCTGTAGAAAGAGGAGTAGAGTATGAACCAACCACTGAGTCACTATTACTGTGTTAGTGCTAGGACCTGACAGCATGTTCTCTGTAGGATCAGTACATAAAGTGACCACTTCAGGGGGATGTTCTGAAGCAGAAGCTCACATGATTCATGCCCTAAGTCCAAAGAGGCCCACAGATGGTATGTCATATTGAATGCATACGCCTTGTGCAGGGGTGGTGTGATTGTACAATACCTTATCCTGGAGGTTGCACAGCTAGCAGTGTGGTAGATATGATTGTGATGGACAATAAATCACACCCACAGTAATAATAATGGTAATATTTACCTGCCATAGAGGCCCTAAGTTGAAGAGCTACAATACTTAAAACTAGGATTCTGAGTGTGAATTTTCAGTTTAACAAGAGCAACGATCACTTTCCATGCATGCATTACTGTATTTAAATATATTTGCTAGACTATTTCTAAAGAAGTGCTAAACAACGACAAAAGCCAAGAGAAGGAAGTGAAGAGAGAATGAAAGACGCTGAAGCACATTACAATTGAGACTGTAGAAACACAAATAATGAGCATTGAAGTCATGCCATATCTATTCATAAAAGAAAAAAAAGTCCCTGAAAATACCTTTCCAGTGTTATGCAATACAGGTATTTATTTCTGTAGGTTTAAAGTACAACCACTCAGGTGTTGCATCAGAGGCCTGTTTCCTCAGGGCAGCTAGCCAAATCTGTGATCACTCTTGCAAATATAAAATAAATAGAACACTATGAGACTTCAATGTCCAATTCAAAGCCTACCACTCCTCTTCAGTAAAAGAAGAAATACCAATCAAGTCATTAATCAGGGTGGCACTGCAGGGCTAAGTCTTGCCCTTTGATTCACAACACAAATTAGTGTGTGTCTTTGAAAGCCAGACATTGTATCTGCAGAGGACAGAATTAAACTATAGCAATTATCCCATGAACACTGTTGAAAGAGTATGGAAAGGGAAAGAAGTCTTCTAGGAAAAAAAACAAAAGTTATTACTTCATCAAGAATATTGCTACATCTACTGTTGGTGCTGTATGATCCTTTTACATGTGCTTTACTGTTCCTTGTACCTTTTTCCTGATGTTGTAGGTGAAATAACATCTACTGTGCTTGAATAGATCAACATTGTTTTGTAACACCTCAGAAAAAAAGCCATCCTTTTTTTAATCTCGCTTGAGCCCATTTACGTTGGGAATATGGCAGTGCTACACTCAGTGATGAGTGCCTGAGACTTACCACCACAGAATGTTTTAGATGAAATCTTCATTACTTTGGGGCTCAACGCTGATCATTTCATGTTTCCTTGTCTACATGCATTTTCAGATCCAGTTTCTGCAGAAAGCCAGGATTCTCATTCCCTGTTGTCATCCACAAAGATTTCAAATGTCTAAAGAGAAATAAGATGGGGTAAGGCATATTTCCATGTATCTTTCTGCTGCTTTATCTAGCATGGCTGACCAGACATTTAAGAAAGTTCACACACGCATAAGAAAGAGGCTGTACATCAAAACTACTTCTCAGAGGAATATCCCTTCTCCTTTCTCTTTTTTAAAACCTGTGACTTGAAAGTGCTAATTTAGCTCACATTGTGAATGAAATTTTGCAGGAGTATATTAGTAGCTGTTCTCTAAAACAGTAATAAAGTAATAAAAAAGTACAATAAGGAAAAAGTATTAAATTCAATTAAACTAACATACATCAACAAAGTGTGTTGAACTTGCTACTATACTACAGCTGTATACCAGCCGAAATAGTTGCAAGTATGTGCCCCTACAGCTGCAACGTTATTCTTTTCTCATTCTTAATCCAGTAACTTTTATTATATGACTCTGCCTAAGTGCCCAGTTATGCTGGAAAAACTGTATGTTCAATGTTAATTCCTTTGTTTTGCAATTGCATTGGAAAGGCCAATTAGAGATAGAAGCCATGCAAATATGTTATGACTGAAAAAAACTTTTATTAATATTTTGCTCACTCAAAGTAAATGAAATTGTATTTATGTCTTCTAGAATATTAGCAAAGAACAATACTCTCGTTTCTTGCAACAATAATCATTTATGTCTTCTAGAATATTAGCAAAGGAGAACAATACTCTCGTTTCTTGCAACAATAATCCATCCACAGTAAATTTTGTACTTAACTACCTCACAACAGTTGATGAAGTTTTTACGTTAATAGTGCAATAAACTCAACAGTGATGCTGCAGATTTTAAATGCCTTCTGGGATATATAAAATATGCAAGTCAGGGTGGGGAGCAGCTGGATGCATAGGAACAGCTGGTCTCATTGGTCTGAGAAGACTTTTTTTTTAACGATAAGGGACGTGAAGTTTTTGGCTTGGGTATCACTTTGAGTTGTCTATGAAAGCAATGTCTTCAATTAACTTCCAAGTCAATAATCCTGTCATAATGACATCATCTTTTTACTTGCTATTGACATTACACTCTGCCAAACACAGTTTAAGAGCCAAACCCCGAACAGCAGGTGCAGGAGGGATCCCTTAGTATGAAAAAAATTGTAATACAACTCAGACATATAGCTTAAATTATGAAGGCACATTGGCTTGAACAAAGGACTGTTCTGAAGTGAATGGCAAAATTCTTCTTTACTTGATTTGGATGAGGGTTACAGAAACAGGAATGTGTAAGCATTCACAGTAAAACAGCAGAACAACTAACATGCCCTCTCCTCCTTGATTTTCAATCAATCAGTCAGCAGTATTTCAACAATAATGATCAGGCCAGCTTCCAGGACTCAACACAGTTCAGTCTAGATAACATACATTCAGAAAAAGAAGAGTTCTTGCAGTATTTCTTACACTAGA